TAACGGAGCGTTCTGCTCCGATCGCAAAGCGCCCTCCCTCCCCCCAAACAAAGCACGTTCAATGATGATTATGCTTGCCCTCCTATTTCGCTTTCCCTTTTCACCTTCTTCTTGTTTCATAATCCTATTATTCTCACGAGAGGGAAGAGTGGAGTTGCATGAGTCTGGAGAAGAGGAGGAAAGAAGTGAAAAGTGGGTAAAGATGTAGAGGGGAAGAAAAGTGGTGGTAGGTTACAGGCTCACTATGGAATAAAACGCGTTTGGCGCATGATGCAGAAAGTAATGAAAATTCTCGAATTTTTTAGTCAACACTTTTACGACAAGGCCGTTTTTTGATGTTAGTCTTTTTGGAAAATCCTGAGAATGAATCCAGAACTTGGCCATGAAAGGTTATCTAAGGCGCTAATCATGAGAATGACACTTATTTTCATAGTAAGGGCATACGATAGGGTTACTTTAGTTATATGGTAGAGTGTAAATATTTTAGTTTTTTGTGAAAAACCGTACTTTATCGTATTTCAAAATTGTCTAGTGTGCAGTTACGAAAAAGGCGTTGATTGTTTTGGTTTGGCCATAGGGTAGGATCACTGTAGTCATGAGGTAGAGTGGTATCCTCATTTATCTGGTGTGCTGCCGCCAAAGTGACTTTCGATTCGCTTGCTGAGTTTCGGCTCAGGATGTCGGTAGTAGTAATGTAAAGATCGCAGTCGTGGAATTTTCTAAGGAGTCGCATTTCAGGAGTTTTTACTTTGCCATGAAAATGACACTCACTTCGTTCGACGTATCTACTTACCATAAAATTTACCATAAAACGTCTTCCCTTAGCTTATCTTCAACATTTATGTGGATCGTTGTGGAAGTTCAGATTATTTTTGGAAACGCACAGGCTTTGCTCTAATCGCAAAACTCTAGCATTCTTCGCAGAACATTAAGACAATCTAACACATTCGATTTGAAGCGAAACTAGCAGTGCAACAATTCCACGTCTAAAGGAAGTTTGAGCTTTGATTGCATATACTGTGCGTGAATGAACGACCAAATACGCTTACAAAAATACAAGAATTGGAACTACCGGAACACTAAATAGATCTAAATTCGATTTTTGACGTAAATCTTGAGTTAGTACCGTACGACTACCGTAATTCTATACGAAAGCTCAAGCGGCCGTTTGTGGCTCACAATATTATTTTTGCTACAATCAGCTCGCTAAAAAAAGCCTAGAATTAATTTTCAAGGTTTCTGAAGCGAAAAATGGCGATTCAATGGATCAAGAAGATCGATGAGCTATTGAGTAAGCTTTCACGTGTACCTCGAATGTTCAGAAGCGTCTGCATGAGAAACTTTGGTAAAATCTCATCTTTCACACAGTTATGTAGATTCTTGCTCCATTATGCACTGCTTACAGTATAACTACCGTAACTCTGCTTACGGTATCTTCATGCCAGACCATGCTGGTTGAAGCTTCGTCTAGGTGTGCACTAACCTGTGCCAGAATCCCATATTTTAACATGTATTTGTAGCGCAGCTCTCTGATTTTTATTATATTTTTCAAAAATTTTGCACGCTTGTGAAGGCTTCAAAGATAAAATGTAAAAATCTCTGTACTAGACTTGTTGACGAAAAAATCCTGAAACGGGATGTCTTGTAATTCAAGACACGGTATTTCAAAACGAACTCACTTTTAAGAAAAAAAAGCATATGTAAGAAACCTTTAAAAAAGGGCTTGCAGAAGGTAAACCAAGTTGTTTGTGAATTACATTTCCTTCTTTGTAATAAGCGTTTCAAGGAAAGTGATTTGGAAAGCTATATTGATGTGTATCAACTTAATAAGAAACTGAAATACCACAAGAAAACCTGGTTTCACTAAAATAATGGTATTCAGGCCTGATGAGCACAATAAAACTAAAAGCGCGTCAATATTCGAATTGGAATTACTTTAGGCCACTAACTTTCCGAACACCCTGTATTCTGGAGTAAGCAACAAGACAAGCAAAAAAGACAAATGAGAAGTATGAGGGGAAGGTCTGTAAAGTTTTGTGGGAACTTCGTTGAAGTTCTAAAATCAAAGGGGCTTGTTTAAAACATGAGGTCAGCTGGTGCTGAGCAATGCTTATTAACACATTCACGACAATACGACTCACCGGCGGGTCGTACGTGTCGTGCCATTTCGGACAATACGACCCACCGGTGGGTCGTACGCTTTCTGAAGTTTTTGATTCTGCTAGTTCACGGTGAAACTTTTTTGGCAAACCGAGTAAACTCCTGTATACACCTCTCGGAGTACTTCCCAAAAGATTAACACTTCAGAGCACAGGACCCATCAGTGACCTGAAAATATCACGCAAACTCAATTTCGCAATATATGCTCCGGTCCGAAATGGCAGTCATCGAAAAATCGGCTCTGTCGTGAATGTGTTAATCTGAAGTTTAACTCTATGGAATGGTATCCCACTCGCTTTTTCGGTAATATCCGGCGTAGTAACTATGACGCCGCAATATTTTCGGTTCAAACCCACTACTGAGTAGCCAGAAGTGCCGAGCTTCTTCTATCTTTTCCTCAGCCCTAGATATTACGTGGCGCGTTACTCGTCTTTCGGCGCTTTATTTCTAATCTTCTTTGCCTTTTCTTCACTTCCAACCACTCGTCGTTCATTGCAAATTGCTCTTCACACCCCTGTAAACTCCCTCCTCTAAAAGTAATGGAAAATGTCGTTTTCAGAGTTCCCTATGTCGGACCGAGTAGTGGCAATAGTGCCCAATCTGTGCAGCTCTCTGTGTAATGAAGAACTGCAAAAAGTGGAAACCTTTTCAAAGAAGTCGCTCTTTACTCACATTGGAGAAGCTAGAAGGACAAGGAGAACAAATTTGCAATTTTCGCATTGTCGCTTCCAGATAACAGCAGGATTAGAACGATCGCGTTGCGAGGGTGTGTGCACTTTGGCTTGCACAGGAATGCAGTTTGCAAGCTTCGTCTGACCGCGTTCCTGGATACGATGATGGAAAAGAGACGAATTTTTTTCTTTTCACTACCAAAGAAAGCATCTTTCTCGGATACTGAATATTTTTATTGGGAGTTAGTTTCAAATTCGTCTATCTCCCTATCAATCTATTAGGTTAGCACATAAGTTTTGCAACTTATTTTGTAACTTTTCTCCTTTTGATTGTAACGCATTCATTTTTGGGGGTAATGTAGATTAGATGGCTACAAACCTATGCAAACAGTTTGATTTCTGTTTCCGAATTGGAGTCGAACTGAAGAAAATTTACTCATTTTCGGAAGCTGGTCAAATCCGAGATTTCAAGGGTGGAAAAACCAAAAATAATGCCGTTTGCAGTCTGAATCAAACACATCAAACCGAAACTGTACCCACATTGTTGATAGAGGAGAACCCTAGTTAGTTCTTCAGACACTTATGCACAAGCTCAAGGCAGAAAGTTTAGGTAAATCAGAATGAAGTGATCCATTTAGCGTTTGGAAGAGTTCTTCTATCAATTATGGTGTTCCTACTCTAACCTTCTTTGTCAGAACATTAGCTCAATGCATAAGTCTTGAAAAATTAAAAAAGTTCGTTCAAATTAATGTGCGACTGAATTGAAATAATTTTACAACATGACCAAGCTTAGAACACATATTCGGAAGAAAACTGGAACGCTGAATCTAAATTCGAAACATAACAATAAAGACATGCGATCAGCTAGGGTTTTTAATTTTGTTCTTTTACTCCACTTGAGTGCAGCGTAGCAAAAAAATTTTGTTTCAAACACTTCCCAGCACGACTTGTTCTCTAAAATACATATTGGGTTGATGCATACATTTCGGCTCAGAGCTCTTGATGTTCCGTAAACTCTCAAGTTTCACGAAAGTTAATCAATACACAGTAAAACGATTTTAGCTTTCCCGTGCGTATAGCATATTATTAGTTTGTTCAAGCATTTTTAGAACGAATTTCTCAAATTTTTCGGTGCGGGAACTATACATGCTAACATCAAAAATAACCGCTTTTGTTGCAGCTAAGCCAGATTACGTTCGGTTTGTGCAAGATTTTTGTAACCTAGTATTTCATGATTATGACCGAAAGGGTGTCCAAATCAGCGTATTTACGCCCATTTATCTTAAACAAGTTTGCCCCATGAAATCGGTTTTCTATTGCAGATTGGAGTACAGTTGAATTTGCATGTTCCATTCTATTTTACATGAAACAGTATTGAAAAAAGAACAAAGAAAAAATGCATCATTCGTAGCACAGTAGAGAATGTCGCTAGGAAATCCCTGGCATGACACCATACGACAACTCTGCTACATACTTAAGCACATCACTTAATTAGGAACATCAAATCAGAGAAAACTAGAGTAAATAAAATCAATATAGTTTTGTTACCTACCACATGGATAGCCCGAGGTTAGCCATAAACGGCAAGAAGTGATTTTGTTACATTTTGGTCACGATAGACCTAGCCACTCAGTCTTTGTATATGCTATTATAGGTGATTTGAACCAGGCACCAAATTGATTACGATTCATTTCTGCGCTTCTCCAGCTGCAGCTGAAGCGGCGAATACTTTCGCTTCATGGTACATAGAATGAATAAGCTAGGATGCTGCCCACATTCCCATGTCTCTTCCTGCGACAGATTCATAAAATCTCAATATTCAAAACCACTTGTTCGAACCTCGCTTTTAACGAAATACACTTCATCAAATACCCGGATGACATGCGGAAAGTGCGATGTCCCTCACTTCATCAAGCCGACATTGCACGTTCTCGAAAAAAAGCGATGCCGCTCTTCCATGAGCGTGTCCGTCCGTGCATTGAAGGTGCCTGGGATGCAGACAGAACGAGCTCGTCTGAATCGATCCGTTGCAGTGGACACGAGAGTAGCCGCAGACATTTTTAGCCAAGCAATGGCTCTCCTCAGACTGGACCTTCCCTATGCCATAAACATCAACGAGTCCAACGATCATAGCGCTCTTCGCTACTGAATTTGAAACAATTGCCTGCGAAGACGACAATTTCTCAAAATTTATTAATAGATCTTCAGAATGAGAAGAAACTTGGAGCTATGAACAACACAAACGAAAAAAAAATTCACAAATCATCAGGCTACGAGAAGAAATGTCATAAATTATGCCATATCAAGCAAAATAATTGGGGCGTCAGAAGGTGGCACCTAACACATCCCCGTGTTGCAGGTCGAAATTCAAATCGAAACAAAATGAGCTTTGCACTGTTTTAGAGACAAGAACAATGACTGGCGAGCGGGTAAGTTTAACATTCTAACACAGTAGAATATCAAATATCAAAACATATCATTTAGAAGCACTTGCGGTGAACAATGGACGGCCCAGACTCATCGTATTCCTGCTTAGAGATCCACATTTGTTGGAAAGTGGATAGAGAAGCCAGGATGGAACCACCAATCCAGACCGAATATTTACGTTCAGGTGGGGCAATAATCTTGATCTTCATGGTGCTGAAACAATGTTCATAGATAATCTGGAGGAATAACTCAGGGTTCAAGTATAATCCCAGAGTACAAACCTGGGAGCTAAAGCAGTAATTTCCTTCTGCATTCGATCAGCAATTCCTGGGAACATAGATGTGCCACCAGACAGTACAGTGTTAGCGTACAGATCCTGCAAATTGATAACTTTTTTGGTATTCAGTTCTCTAGAAAAATCAAACAAATACCTTTCTGATGTCGACATCACACTTCATGATTGAATTGTATGTGGTCTCATGGATTCCAGTGGACTCCATTCCCAAGAAGGAGGGTTGGAAGAGTGCCTCCGGGCAACGGAATCGTTCGTTACCGATCGTGATAACCTGCAAAAGTACACGTAGCCATAATCAAATATGAAAAAAGTAACAACTAACTTGTCCATCGGGAAGTTCATAACTCTTCTCAAGCGATGAAGACGAAGCAGCAGTAGCCATTTCTTGCTCAAAGTCCAAAGCGACGTAGCAAAGTTTTTCCTGAGAAAAATTCATTCATATGCAGATAGCAATAAAAAATTCAGCAAAGCTCTCACCTTGATATCTCTGACAATTTCCCTTTCAGCAGTGGTGGTGAATGAGTATCCTCTCTCAGTGAGAATTTTCATCATATAATCGGTGAGATCACGGCCAGCTAGATCCAATCGGAGAATAGCATGCGGCAAAGCATAACCCTAAAAGTGCTTTTATGATGCCATGAAGCAACCAAATCACTTCGACTATTGACACACAGCTTACCTCATAAATTGGTACGGTATGGGTGACACCATCTCCAGTATCAAGGACAATACCCGTGGTACGTCCAGATGCGTACAGCGACAGTACTGCTTGGATAGCAACGTACATGGCTGGCGTGTTGAAAGTCTCGAACATTATCTGCAAATAAAGAAGTCTTATGAATCTGCTTTTACAGCTGAAAATTTTTTCCTAGCGTTACTGATAGTAAGTTCAGCTCTACAGAAATGCAAACTTCTCAAATCACAGTTTTGTTAACTATCGGGTAAAAATTAATCACTTCACGTGCCACTAATCACTTTCCTCTGTTTGATACTAGCGGTAAATCACAGTAAAATGCAAGCGCTCAAAGTTCGTTTGATCAATTTAAGCGCTCCCTCTTAATTCTTTCCACTCTCGGAACTTGAGTTTCAAGGTTATGTCATACTTCAAAGATAGATTTTGAGCATCAGTGGCTCTTTATCTCCTGTGAGATTTTTGACTCATTTCTGTGTGGCCTCTCCTAAATTCCCATAATAACTTCGCCGAATCTGACATGGGGAAAGAAGAAGTTTATGGTTCGCACTAAATCTTCTGCGCACCACAGCTTCAAGAATTCCCCATTTCAGTGCCTTCCATATTTTGGTTATGTATTGTATGTGAACATTAGTTAGTCATTCCGTTCAGTCTCCGCGAGATTTTTGGAAATGGTCAAGCACTCAGGGATTCTCCAGCAAAGCCTAATCGTAAATCTTCCAAAATTGGTCAATTTTATGATTGCCGTGCACTACTGAGACTCAATAACGCAGCACTTGCCGTGATTAATCTAAGTATGTAGCTGCGTGCCAATAAGCTAGGAGCAATGTGTACCACCATGCATCTGATTGGGATGAAAGAATTAATCCAAAGTTCATTCCGTATGAGTCATGCTTGTACTTTCATGAAATCAGTTTGACCAGTTCACCCGCTAATCCAGTTTTTTTTTCCTTCTTCGCACTTTCAATGGAAGAGAGAAACTAGAAATCTTGACTCTAATAAGGACACTACGCACGTCCAAACCAAATCCTTTCCAAACTTGCAGATGACGATGAATGAGCTGTTCACTATAGAGGGAACGCCGAACGAGATGTAACAAGATATCGCTCCCTCCGTTTCATTTGTCGTATATGGCCTATATAGATATAATCGGATCATCGCTAGCCGCATTGATTGCTTCGTGACAGATCGTCCTCTCACCATTACGAGACACATTACGAGTGTTTTGGCAAGCAATAAAGGTTACGGGAATGCGCGCCATTTCCGCAGCGCAGGAAAAAAGTGAAAACTCAGCAGCGAACCCAAAAAAAACACGAAAGTCAACCAGTCCACCATATGTCAGGACTTCTCTAGTACTTGTACACAGAAAATGAAAACCAACGAAGCTATGGTGATATATACTTATATACTTATAAAACGCCTCACAAAAACCATGTCTGCCCTGGTTCATCAGCAAATTCCGTGCAGACAAACGACCAGAATTTATACAACTTCTGATATCATCCTTTTTCGACCACGAACGAGTTTCAGGCAGCGCTCAAGCCCGCCAGAACCTGCCCGAAAGGATGCACTTGCAGACTAAGAATTATTTGTATATTAAAAACAACGCGCAGTATTTCTCGAGCTCTAAAATCAAGATTTCGAGAGAGATGCCATTTCCATTTCTAAAGAGGCTCGTGGGTTCAGTGGGGTGCGCTGGGAACAGGGGGTTGTAATGTGGTCTGAAGCCTGCCAAACAAGAAATAATAAAGTATATAAAAAGTCTGCTCTCCCTTGAAGGCTCTTCTCACCTATAACCTTGCTTGACCACTCAGCGGCGCCACCTACACTATAGATAACGATGACCGCAACGGAAAAAAACTGATAAGAGCAGACAAACAAAAGCAGCGTTCAAAAATGCTCATCACTCGACGGTTATGGCGGAATTATAGATTTGGAACATGTTTTACCATATGAAAAAGCTTATTAATGAAAAAGAGCCTACCTGGGTCATCTTCTCCCTGTTGGCCTTGGGATTTAAAGGAGCTTCGGTGAGGAGAACGGGGTGTTCCTCAGGAGCAACACGCAGCTCGTTGTAGAAAGTGTGATGCCAGATCTTCTCCATATCATCCCAATTCGTCACAATTCCATGTTCGATAGGGTACTTGAGGGTAAGGATACCTGAAGGCAAAAATTTTAACGGGGTTGTTTGAGGTTTGACAATTGACTTACCTCTCTTTGACTGTGCCTCATCTCCAACATACGAATCTTTCTGTCCCATACCGACCATGACACCCTGATGTCGTGGGCGACCAACAATCGAAGGGAACACCGCTCGTGGTGCATCGTCTCCGGCAAATCCGGCTTTGCACATACCGGAGCCATTGTCGACTACAAGTGCTGCAACGTCGTCATCGCACATTTTTGCCTGGAATAGCGGGATTAGAATTTTTTTTAGCGGTATATTAGTGAGAGAAAGCGAGAACGAGTGCACGGTGAACGCGCGAACGATTACTTCCGCTGAAAAGTATCGCGTCAGATGAGTCATCGCGATTCGATTCTGATAACAATGTGACCCAATAGTAGGCGGCGTTCACGATCAAGCCTAGCGATAAGTCAACTAAAGAACAGTGCGAAGGCGTTGACCGAGTCATGATGAAAGCGAAAAAATGATCGTTGGTGCCCTTTTCTTCGAAAGGATTTGGGGCAAATCCTAACGATAAACAAACATTCGCCAAGCAACCGGAACGTTTGGTAGCGCTCGGTAATTCAAAAGAGGTGACAAGGTGGCAAAGAGCGCAGAAGACATTCTTTTCTTGACAGTAAGGTGGCAAAAATGCTCAATAACCATTAGCACTTCTAACACAGAGATGAAGGAGAGATGGCTGGATCAATGATGAAAGGGCTGATGCGTTCCCCACGTAAATATGAACGTATTCCCATGACAAAAATGTACTCTACTTTAGCGGTCTGGCGTTATTATTTGAGCTAATGTGCCTAAGAGAATCACAGACTGGAGAATTGGCGAATGGGAATAAGATAAAGAGTACAGGACTATAGAATATATCCAAAACAAAGCTTTAAAGGAGCGTCAACATTGATGATGTCTTCTAATTCCCATTCAGAAGCGGGAAAGGTGATGATCTTTAGACTCTTTAGAAAGCAAAAGGCCATAAATAAGCGATTTCTCCTTCTTATTGATATTTTGAAAAGAGACACAGCAAGAATGAGCAACTGCTGGACTCAACCGAAACAGAGGATGATGGAAAGAGCAGAACATTGCCGAATGGTGGCATGGAGTGGGTATAATCGCAGTGCGCAAAACTGATTTGACTCGCAAATCAGAGCGGATTTGGCCGTGACAGCCAACATTGACAGCGCCAGTAAGCGCCAGCCGGCTGCCACGGATGAGATGAAAGAGACGACCGGACGCAGACGACGACGAGGTCACGACCGGCGACGATTCGACAGGCTCGCGGCGCCGTTGTCGACAACGGGGAACGATCGCGGCCAGCCAGCCGCGGCCCCGCCCCGGCCGGCTAAATTCGGCCGGTCTGCGCATGAGCGCCGCGCATGATTGGTCCGATTCAAACGCGCACCTCGGCGCGAAGTGCGAAGGGCGGGGCCGGCGCGTCCAAACAGCCGACGACGACGACGACGTTGTGAAACAGTCGTCAATGCGCGTGCATGACTCACCAGATAAGGCGAACTCGCGCCCCTCGCAACCCGATCACTGCGGGGCACCGGAACACCCTGCGCTGACGCATATAGCGGGTCCGATGCCCCGGAATGCGCCCTTGTGTGGAAATCATCGAACTGCCATGAGAAGGATCTCTCAAGGGCTTTGATGAAGGCGTCAAAGTGAATGCGCACATGCGTTGCTAGGGCTTTGGTTGCGCCGATTCCACGTGCCGCGCAAACTTGTTTTGTATCAACTGGTTCAATCTGGGTTATTTATCAAAATTATACGCGTTCAACATGTTTGAATATGCTTGTTGACGAATATACTTGTAGAAATCTTGTATACGTCTGTATTAACATGCATGGTATGAATTTTTCTGAAGCGAAAAGCATATTAGCAGTGCTAAATAAGGTTCTTGAATATTTGGCATAAAGCACATGTGTTTTCTCTTGTCATGTTGCCAATTTCCAATGTTGGCGGATTTGAGGCAAAATCAGAGAGCATAGGTTTTTTTTCTCAATGCGGGCGTGTTTAATTCAAGAACCACATGCTTCTCTTCGTTTTTGTTATACATATCTTGCAGAAAGATGCGGGAACATCGCAGATTATGGAAGCAAAGTAGGGATAACTCTAAATAAATAGATAAATAAATAGTTATTGTCATAGTGGTAGTCTTTGTTTGAGTTGATAATCGGGTATGATAGTGAAAATGATATTTTTTGAAGGCTTAGTAGCTATTGCCACTTTTGCAGAAACTACTCTCTTTTAGTTTTGGCAAAGGCAACCCAAGAGTAACATTATAATTAGAGGAGTTCCATGGGATTCTTGGTGGCACTTCTGTAGGAGTTCGTAAAATTTTCTTTTTTTTTTGCGTGCATTATTTCTTATGTAGTTCCTAAATGAAATTTGGTAGAACTTAAAGATTCTTCTGAAGCAGAATGACTCCAGACTTTGCTATGTTTTATTTTGGTGTTACCTGCGCAGTTTTTGTTCGTTGTGAACATACTTTCGTGAATTGTTTTTGGGTACCTAAAGAGGTGAAGTTTTGCAAATAGGGGTGAGGCAATTTGGAATAAGTGAATAAATGAATGCTTAGAGTAAAAAGAAACCTTGATAGCTTGTACGCAATATCAATAAGCTCGTTACGTATCTGTGCCAAAATTGTCTCTCTTCGACAATCTTCTAACAATAAGAGGCTTTTTACAACCATCAAAAACTTAATGGCATTGTTATGTTTTATCGTTCTTGCGTTTTTTCTTTTGTGGTCCTTGTTGTCTGCAGAAAGTCTTTGCATAAAGAAATAAATAAAGGGAAGATATAGGCTTCAGAGGACCATACGACGATAAATCGCATATTCTTGTTATTTTGACAGCTGGGATAAATGGAGTAATTGCACAGAAAATGCTGGAAAGAGCACAAATATACTTTCATAAAAAATTGTAAAGTTACTGCTTAAGTTGATAGAAGAAGATGCAAGCCGGTTACGGTGCTTAATGTCGGTTCTTCTAACAATGCAACTCTTATCTATAGTCATAACTTTATTGTAGCCAGTTTACAGCGATGATAAGCACAGAAAAAAGTTTACAAGCGAAATGTATACGGTACTAGATGATAAGCGGAAGAAAGACTACGCAAAGCAACATTTGAGCTAATGCGATTATGGCCTCATACCTCCACACATTTGGTTTCGTAAAAATACATGCGCTTTACTAAATAAGAGTTATCTGCTTTTGAGTGTCACACTTTTCAACCAAGCCGTTATAAGAAATTACAAATAGCAACAATATTCTGAATCATGTGCACTTATTAAGTTATTTATTTGTTTACTTATTTATTTATGTACCAGGATTTGCGTTTGGGGAGGAGGGACAAAACTTATTTTCGAGTAATGAACAAAAAAATTTTCTATGCTTTACAAAATTTTTTTAGAAAGGATGCTATTGAAATTAAACTTTTCAAAGCTGATTTGAATTTTTTTGAAACTTTCATAAAATGTTCTATTATTTACTAGTACGAACAAGTCACTTGCGCATTTTTAAAATTGCGAATAACTTCCAAATATATCGCACCATTCGCGGAGAGGTAGGGAAGGCCTCGTCACTGCTATGTGCTTATTTACAAATTCACGCATCTATTAGGTTGATGCAAAAATAATGAGCGTTTTTATTTGCTTGCTTTAACAAAGCAACCAGACTCAACCCAACAAAGGGTAAGGGGTACTGTTCGATAGAGCAAAGCAAGCTCTACAAGATGGCACTCATATCTTTGCGCCATGCTCAATCCACGGAGAGTTCGAACTCAAAATCTAAAGATTTCCAAATGCCCAAAAAATCGAAAAAAATCAGATCTTCGTCCAAATAATTTCTACGGACCTCCCACTCGCTCATATCAATATATCGATATCTGACATCCATATGTGCGATTGCCGTATTTTTTCCTTGACTAGAAACTGAGAAAACGAAAATTTCCCTGATTTTCTCAAAGCAATGCTGAGCCGTTTTTGCATATGTAGTTCTATACTACAAGCCTAGATAAGCATAACTGTAAGTTTTCAGCCTATTTCGAGCGGTACTTTTCAAGAAATATCGATTTTAGCACTGAAACTGAAACGAAAAAATCCGAATTCGTTATTTTTCGAAAACTACCGCTTGGAATGAGCTGAAAATCTACAGTTATGCTTACCTAGGCTTGTAGTATAGAACTACATATGCAAAAACGGCTCAGCATTGCTTTGAGAAAATCAGGGGAATTTTCGTTTTCTCGTTTTCTAGTCAAGGAAAAAATACGGCAATTGCACATATGGATATCAGATATCGATAGTATTGATATGAGCGAGTGGGAGGTCCGTAGAAATTATTTAAACGAAGATCTGATTTTTTTTCGATTTTTCGGGCATTTGGAAATCTTTATATTTTGAGTTCGAACTCTCCGTGGATCGAGCATGGCGCAAAGCATGAGTGCCATCTTGTAGAGCTTGCTTTGCTCTATCGAACAGTACCCCTTACCCTTTGTTGGGTTGAGTTTGGTTGCTTTGTTAAAGCAAGCAAATAAAAACGCTCATTATTTTTGCATCAACCTAATATTATATCTATTACCAATTTGATGCACAAAGTTATAATAGCTGGCTGAATTACCCAATACATGCGATGAGAACAGAAGAAGGATTGAATAGGACGAGGGTTAAGGACAGTGCCCTTGTTATTTTCCAAAGCACACGATCTTCCCTCACTACTGATGATTTCCGGGGAAGATCTACTCTTATCCTTCTCTAGTGGCAGGAATGAAACGGAATTGGATATTCTTGAGTTTCGTTATTCTTACAATTTGCTTGATTTTTTCTTATTGTACAATAAAATCTAGGAGCGAGGTTATGAAAATCAGTACTTTTCAAGGTCACATCTCATACGATGACACACAATTGTCAGCCGTGCCAGAAGTACTACATATCATCGAGTCCAGTGAATGTAAAGGACAAACATTGCGAAAGGGGTAGAGGAGATGGAATGGGGAAAGAATGATGAGGGGACAACTACTTCACTTCTCAGCCCATCCCAGGAGGGGCATTTGAAATCTGTTGTGAGGACGTTTTAAGATAAATGGAAGTCAACACTTGCTAGGATTGTGATAAGATTTTTTACCCCGGAATAATTTATTTCTGGAAAAAGAAAAGAACAACAGGCTAAATTCAGTGCAGATGTATGTAGACGACTTTTACGCACTAAGTAAGAAAACTCAATTCGCATCATGTGCAAGGAAAGAGTTCACTCAGAGT